CAGCACTGAGCTTCACATACCACAAGGCGTTCAACATGGTGGCCTGCTCCTCTGAGCCACCACACTCCACCTGCACTTGTTTACCGTGAGTAACCTGACCCCAGTGGGCCCAACCCAGCCGTGTTAGTTCTGACACGGTGGAGAGGCCAGGACAGCTGCTGTCTGGCCTTGTTCTCAGTACCCTGTGGAGAAGGGGCAGCTTGCTCACATTACCCCATTATTCCGGCACTAGGACACAGAGCTGGCTTCCCTTGGGGTGGAGCTGCTGGTTCCAAGGGCACAAGGTAAACCCTGGAGGTCCTAGCAGTTCCTAGGGCATCTGCTAAATGTAAGGCATTTGCTCTTCTTCTCCCCCACAACCCCAGGGAAGACGGCACGGCCCCCGGGGGAACTTCATAGCGCCAGGAGAAAGGCGTCTCATGCTATTAGCTCAAATAAGGAAAATCATGCCGGGAAGATTGAATTTTCTGCAGACTTGTTTAGCCTGGTGATTTCTGAGCACTTGGCTGGCAGCCACAGGGGAGTGGGCTGCCAGCCGGCACTTTATCAGCCACTTCTCAGGAATATTCCTAAGCTTATTAAATCAGCATGAGTCACTCCCTTGCCTTCCTCACAAGCATGAATCACGAATCATCAAAACCCAAGCAAAATGCATGACTCAATAGTTTCTCCGGGGCCTAAAGGGGCTAGCAAGCTGGCGGCAGGGTGTTGTCCACCCGAGACTGCCCCCCACCAACAAGTGGTACTTTCCAGGCAAGGCAAGGGGGCTGCCACCAGGCAGAAAGAATTGCTCAGGGGGACCATCAGGACCTTGCATGGGCTCAGAAACACACAGACCTGGGCTCAACCACACACGCACTCAGTCCTACTGTGTGCCAGGCACCTTGACAAACACAGCAGAGGAGCCAGCAGACAGCAGAGCTAGCCAGTCTCTACAGTCTACAGGGAAGTGTTTGAAGTGATTGGAATCCTATTTCTATTTCCTTCCTAGCTAGGAAAACTTGGGCAATTCATGTGACATCTGTGAGCCTCAGTTTCCCCATTCTAATGCCTGCTCACAGGGCTGTCCTAAGGATCAAATGAACTAACACACATCAAGTCTCTCACACAGTGCCTAGCTCATGGTACCTGCTCAACAATCATTTGCCCTTTCACTGGAGAGGGAAGAATGACCCATGATGTCCTACAGAGCTTAGGGAATCCTCTGCCAGTCCCCACCTGCCCTTCCTATTACACCCAGACCTGAACTCTGGGCACCCTTGCAGCTGTGGCAGGAGAGGGCAGTTCGGCCCAGGATCTCCTTCCTGAGACACCTGCTCCCAGCACCAGTTCCAGGTCTTCCTTCCTGGTAACCCATGGCAACTTTTCTTTCTCTGCAGCCTTTCTCCTGTGGTCTTTTGGCCAACAGGTCTTGACCACTGTCAGCTTCTGGCCCTCATCTTTCTCCAAAGAGCTAAAGACTGCAATCAGCAGCTTCCTCCCTGTGGCCTGTGTCACCGTCCTCCCTGTGTCACCGTCCCCTGCCATTCCTGCTCACTCTCCCAGAGCAAAAGAATTGAGTCTTCCACTTTAACCGCTACACCGGACTCCACTGCCTCTCCAAAAAAATTCTCTCCTGGACCCTCATTTTCCAGTCCCAGGCCTAGAAATATTACTTTCAGGGCCACCACATAGGGCAAAGGCTGTGCCCTGCCTCATAGGGTCAGGGAAGGTCACATAGGCTGACATGTGTGGGCACCCTCGGATTGAGCAACAGGGTGGCCCTGTGCCCAGTACATACATTGAACCTGCATTATTGGCCAACGTTTGCTGAAACCTGCTGTCAGATCTCCTTTAATCCTCACAATCCTATCGGGCAGGAACTATCAACTCCCCCACACCCCCGAGCGAACTGAGATCAACACACAGCAAATGCTTGAGCTGAGCGAGGGGCCTGAGCCAAGACCTGGACAAGATGAAGGGTGAGGCTGCCAGGTGGAGGAGCCGGGGTGTAGACAGCCGAAAAGAGGCCGTGGGGACTAAGTCAGGGCAGGGGCATTCCTGGGGCTCTGCCTTCCTTCCTTCGCACCTCTGGGGCTGGATTCTGATGCTGGGGAGTAGCTTTATAAAAAGCAGACTCTCCTCACGACAGCAGGGAGGAGACTCTATCTACCCACCCGCCTTAGGACAAAGAACTCTAGAAAAGGCCCTGTGTCCACAGGTGACGTCAGAGCTGCCCTAAGTGAAGGGGGATGCCCCTTTCTGGGGCCCCCACAGCCCAGATGGAAAACCTAGAAACAACAGAACGGTCACAGTGACTGTTTGAGCCATTTCACTGTAATTTCCTTTTCCTACTTTTATCTAGACCCTAAACATTACATAATTTTTAAGTGGGACAAAACTTTAGCAAATACCAAAGGTGGAAGAAGTGGAGGCAGATTTGGAAAAGGAGGAGAAGGAAGAGGAAAGAAGAGAGAATATGAAGATTGAGAAGGAGAGGGCCAGAGGAAGCCATCAGAGCTAAGGGTGAGGCTTTTACCATTTTCAGGCCCATCTTCCCCACAGAGGAAACAATGGCAGCTCCCACCAGCAGAGAGTGGGAGCTGTGCGAGTCCTCACCCTCATCCGAGACAGAGGTCAGAGCCAGTCCCCTCTAAACAGAAGGAGGAGGCGAGAAGAAAGGGCCTGGTCAAAACCGGGGACTTCAAGTCACCTCTTTGCCCATCAGGGTCACAGAACACAGCTGCCACTTTGAGCTGAAATTCCAGGGGCTCCTTGACAACTCTTGCTTCTAAGGAAGCATTTGCTGGTCACAGGTGCCCTCCATCCACCAAGCCTCCTCCAACAAAGAAACTGAAATCCAGACTCCCAAGGCTCATTCTGAGCTCCTCCTTGACCTTCTGCTCAGAGCAGCCACCTTCACAACAGGGATCCCATTGGGGCTGACCAAGCACTTGCCCTTGGAGGCCATCACAGGACACCGAGGGGAGCTCCCACCAGCACACACACCCATCACTGTAGGCCACTAACTGCACAGGAGAAAGAGGCTTGCCTGGGTCCCAAGAACAGACACGTCACCACAAAGAGGGGTGAGAGAGTCAACAACTTTCCATCCCAGTCTGAATGATGTCCAGCAAGGCCTTCTTCTAATGCCAGAACTGAGAGGGACCCGGAAGTGACAACTGTGTCATGGTAGGAGCCAATTACCCATGCAAGCAACACATCTGTGCCGGGGGCCAGGGTCACCCAGATGGCAGAGGGATTTATGGCCCAAACCTGACTTTCCAGAATCCAACAAATTCAAGAACAGAGAGAAGCAGAACCAGAAAGAGCTCTCTTCCAGGTCTCGCTGGGAGCCAGTATATTTTTGGAGGGCTTTGGCCTTGCCTGCTTGCTGTACTTTATTGCTGGCAGAAAGATGGGAAATTTATTACTTTACAAATCATACCCTTCGCAGCATAAATGAACTGTCTGGCTGCAGCACGCTCAAGCCTACATGATTTGCGAAACGTCTAATGGTAAGCAGGGTTATGCTATCTGCTTACGGCCTCCGAGACAAAAGCAAGCCGTAAGGCAGAGCATCTGCACAGTGTAACTCTAGGCCGGCAAATTGGCTGCGACGCGTAAATGTTGGCTCAGCAGCATTACATAATTCGGTGCGCTCGCCGGGGACTCAGAGGAGCACAGGGCAGCCCCTCAGCCCAGGGAGCTGGCCCTGACGGGGCTGTGCATGACAAGCAGGGCACCAGTGGAGTTCAGGGCCAGGCCGAACACCACATCCTGGCTAGTCCTGAGGCCTGCCAGTGATGAGGAGCCTGGGCAGACCCCTGGGGCTGCCATGGCAAGGAAATGCTCTCTACATCCCTTCTACTCCAAAGTCCCCAAACCTGAGGAGAGGGAGACGGTCTTGAAATCACTGCATCCCCAGTGTGCAGACAGGAGCTGGTCAGTGCCCACGGCCCATGGGCCCATGTTCCCTCTGCTGCTGGCCTGGCTGGCAAGAGGAGAGGACTGATCACACAATGCATCATCACCACAGACAGGCTCATCCACCGCCTGCGATGCGGGATGTGACTAGGAGAGAAGGGAAGGCATGCCCACGTATTCAGGAAACTGAGCAAGTCACTCCATCTCTCTGAGCTTCAGGGTCATGTGAGTGGTAGTGCAAGATCCAGAGTCAGACTGTGAGGATCTTGTCTCATGTGTCTAAGCTGTACGTGGCACTTAACGCTCATTATCATCATGAAGCACTCAGAACAACCCATGCAGTATGGATATCATCATCCCCATCTGACAGGTGAGTAAACTGAGGCTCGGGAGAGTCATGGTGCTTGACCAGGCTCATGCAGCTACTGAGTGGCAGAGCCAGGACTCAAGCACTGGGTCCACTGGTTCTAAAGGCTTCTGGTTTCTTTCCCACGGCACTCCTCTGCCTCTCAGAATTTAGGCTGTCATTTCATGGCTCCCCAGAGTCTCATGCTGTGCTGTTTGCTGGACAGGAGGGTCCTCAAGTCAGGCCTGGAAGGTCTACAGACCCAACATAAGCCCTGCTCGGCCCAAGCATGCTGTAGAGACTTTAACTTGAACAAACCTTCTGTCTGCCTTGGCTCAGGGACTTGGGTGACCTTCCCAGGAAGGAGAGGAGCCAGCAGAACTAGCCTACTTTCAGATGGGCCAAAGGACCCTGCCCGAGTGCAGAGATATCTTAAACCCAGCCGTAGGATGTACAACTGGGAAAAGATCAACTGATACTGCTTCTTAGCCTGACAAAGCCTTTAGCTGAAGAGTGAAAACAAAATTGCTTTCGAACCATTGATTTAAAAACAGGGAATGGTATTTTTAAACACTTTAATCTTCAAAAATAACAAAACTGTCCTGTTACCATGGCTAACTTTGTGCCACTTGGCATTAAAAATAAAAGGCTGTTTACTGAATACACATCCAAAAATAGCCTCACTTCTATTCACAGCCTTGTGAGACAAGCAGTTGGCCCCAATGATATCACTCTCTCACTCACTCACCTAATACATCCATTCACCTACTCACGCGTTCAGCGAAGCTCTCTCTTCAATCCCAGCAATGGCCCAGCAGAAAGGGTCCTTGGGATTTTCAATTCCCTCCACGTCAAATGCCAAGTACAGATTAGGCCCCATGATCTCTGGAGAAGCTTAAATTCAGCTAATGGACTTTTTATGGCATGTAAACGTTGCCCTCAGTAAGGAAGCCTATTAGCCACATAAATAGTGCACACATGTCCACGTGAAGCACAGACTGCAGGAGGGTGACGGTACCCACTGTCAGCACCACAGCCGCCACCGGGATGAATGTTTTCCGGCATTCCAACCAAGGCCATTGGCGTGTCTCCGTCAGAACCTTTTTTGGCACATAACTAATACCTTCTATGACAGCTTCTCAGGAGAGGGTGAAGCAGGCATTCACTGCTGGGTCTGATCTCTTAAGACAGCCCCTTAAAGCCCAGGAAGCTTGGCCTTGACCTAGGCAGGAAGCCACAGGGGGAGTATTCTGGATATGAGCCTATGCCAGCTTGAGTCATTCCACCTCCCCCTGCCTCCAAGGGCCACGAAACTAAAAGAGGTTCTTTACCCTGCAGTCACACACCCCAGGAGGCTCTCGTGGCTCCCCTGGCCCCAGGAGTACTCTTGTGGAAGAAGCACCGGGAGAGGAAGACAGAAACACTTCCAGGCCCAAGTTTCTGTGCTCTTCTAAGCCAAATACCAATGCCACAAAAGGTGAAGACAAGAAACTCTTCTCTTGGCACATGCATAAAACACAGTCCCTGTGCACTTGTCTTGCACACCTTTTCTGACGATAAACTCAGCCAGAGCTTTCCTATGGCAACAGCAGCCACCAGGAAAGTGACCAGGGAGGACAAAGACTCTGAAGACACTTCCACATTCCTTTGATGAAACCAAGCAAGGCCATTTACTCCGCAGATCTCATTGGTTGAGGACATAAGGAACTAGTGCAACTCAAATGTTCCAGGAAGCAGTGCATTTTCACATGCCAGGGGCCAGGGGCCCCTGGAAGAAGCTAAAAGAGGCATGGACCCCTCTCCCCAGAAAAGTTCACACAGCACAATACTTCTTATCCAATGTCAAATGATTCATAAGCCCCTGAAGCTTCACAGGGGTGCTCAGATTAAGAAATCGTAATGAAATTCCTTAAAACAAGACCAAGACAGCCAAGTAATTCCCAATCCTGCCATTCCTCTCCCAGGACCCTAAGCTCTAGGATACACAAAGAAGGAACTGTATCTATGGTCGTGAGAAGGTCCAAGAGCCCCCTCTGCACCCACATAGTCTCTGACCTCATGCTTGAAACGGAAATAAGGACTCTAGCTTGTGAATCCCCAAGTCTTCTAGCTCTGTTTCCCTGCCTGCACATGGAAACCATGACTATCTGTCTGCTCTCCCTGATGGAGATGCCTCTGCCAGGCTTCAGCTTCTCAGATCCTCAACAAAGGTCTGTCTTGATCATGGCCACCACCTGCCTGCCCCACCCCTGGCCCACTGACAACCATGTTCTGTATGTTTGCTCTCCCATCTGGTACCCATGGCACCAATCTACAGGCTATCATGGACCTATGAGTTGGGCCAATTGGATTCTCTGATTGAGTGAGGAAATTCCAGGAGAACTGCGGTGCAGCAACAGATAAAGCCAAAACATCGTGATGCTTCCAAAAGCTGGCAGCCTCTGGTTCTTTCAAGTTTGAAAAGAGTAAAGAAACTCATGCAGAGGAGACGGTGAGAGCCATTCACCATGAGCTGGAGAGGGGTTGGCATAGGGAGTGGCTGAGCCCCCATCTCCTGCCCCTGGGACCCAGAGGCACTGTGATCCAGAACTCGCCTCCCATGGCCTGAGCTGAACTGCGTGCCACAGGGGCACTGAAAGCCAGGGAGAGTCCATCAAATGTCTCTCCATTGACTGAGGTCTTTGAACCACAAAGAGCCTCTGCAGGAAAGGAGACAGGCGAAAGACCAACCAGTGCAGTAGGGAGGGCTTTCTGGAACATGGCCCAGCATCCTAACCCTCTGGGAAACTTCTAACAGCAGACAACTAGACCCCATCCAAGGGCAATGGATTGGAGTGGGGCTGGGCATGCACAGGTTTACCAGCTCCCCAGGTGCTCAGGATGCTAGGCAGGATTAGGATCCATTCATTTAGGCCACATACCCCCTTGCCTGCCTCACCAAAACAGAATCCCCAGTGTGTAGATGGCAGAGGACAGAATACGGGGAGCACTGTTGTTTTCCAGTTCTATCAGTCTGTCAAAACCTGCTTTCTTCTCCTGTGGGCTTCCAAATGCCGCCAGCCTACTCCAGGAAACCTACCCTCCTTACGTGAGTCCCGGCTTCCTCATGCCCTGGATATCCACTGTCCCTTGTGGTTTTCAACCTATATCACATGTGGAACCCTTTTGGGGAGCTCCTGGCCTGCGGGAGAGAGGCCTGTGTCCTCTAAGGTATGGAACTGTCCCTGGCTTCCACTGATCTCTGCTCTAGGCTAGGCTTGGCTGTAGGCTATGTGGATGGGGCGGGAAGTGGGAGGGGGCTGGCTTGCTGTTGTTCTTTTGGATCTCTGGTAGGCCCTGTGGAGGGTGTCCCAGCAGAGTGGAGTCAGGCTCAGAAGGTATTCATAGCCAGAAGCAAGACATGGAGGACAGTGAGTGGAGGGAGGAGGGGGAAATAGGACGAGGAGGAGGGGGAGGGGGAACCAACGTGGTTCAAGCTAACCTTTCATACCCCTTCTTTCTTAGTATAAGGCACTCCAAAGGTGGGTACAGGAGGAGCAGGAGTAGAGAAGAAGAGGGAGAGGAGGAGGGAGGAGTCGTTCTGAAGCTCCTTCTAACCCAGGCAAGAGGCCGGCTCTCCCAAAGCTCAGGCTCCAGTGCCAGCTACCGGCCTGGTTTGCCACAATTCCAAGCAATCCGGTGCAGCTGGAAGAGTGCAGGCGTGGAGGAGGCCACACCATGCAAAATGTGCATTTGATCAAGGTTGAAAACATGGTGTAACATGAGTTCTCCTGATCTATTGGATTTCTACAAAAAAGCCCTGAACTCCTCAGTCAAGTTCAACCTCAGGTCTCGGGAAAAATGAGTTTGTTAATTCAAGCAATTCCCCAGTGGTCAGTAGTTTATACCACATGCTTTGAAACAATGTGGCCTAAGTCAGGGGAGAAGTTGAATTACTTCCTAGGGGAGAGCCAAGGACTATCTGTTAACCTTGACAGGCCCTGCAGCCTCCTGCGTGGGCTGGCTGGGCTCTCTACAAGCCCCTTCCCATGAGGCTGGGGGGAGGGCTCCAGCCCCATGGCTTGCACATTCATGCAGAGCAGCCCCCTTATTCAGAGAAGGATAGTTTTCCTACCATCCCCCTCCTCACAGCCTGGAGAGCTGGGGTCTGCCGTCACCGGCCTCTCAAGAAGCCTGTGCCTCCAGCAGCCACCAGGATCCACCAGGACTGTGACCCTCCTGCCAAGCAGACCCAAGGAAGGTGTGCTGGCCACTGTGGATGAGAGGCAGGCTCCCACCTGCAGGTCAGTCTCAGATAGGAAGTTGTGGGGAGGATCCTTTTAAGAGAAGATTAATTATTGCCCAAGGCCTCTAGGTCACCTGGTAAATTGCATTCTCTAATCCAGTGAATACCTACTGGACATCCATCATATGCCAGCTTCACCACACTAACCCATAGATCCTTCTGGATAGCAAAGTGTGGACCTTGGAGAACACACAGATGACAATAATCACCACCAACACATACGGAGAGACCCTGTAGGCCCTTTACGTGGATTAGCCACTTAATCCTCACAACAACCCCTGAGCAAGTACAGCTGCTATCCTATTGCACAGATCAGGAAACTGAGGCAGCTTCCCAAGGTCACCCAGCTGCTAAGCAGTGCTTCAGCGATTTGAACTCAGGAGGCTAGCTCCAGGGCCTTTGCCCTTTATCACCTCTCCATCACCATTCCCATCATCATTACAACACATTCAACCTCCCTGCTTATCTGTCCCAGGCAGGAGTACCTGGCACCCAGGAAGTGGTATTTTTTTTTTTGAGATGGAGACTCACTCTGTCACCCAGGCTGGAGTGCAGTGGTGCAATCTCGGCTCACTGCAACCTCCGCCTCCCAGGTTCAAGCCATTCTCCTGCCTCAGCCTCCTGAGTAGCTGGGACTACATGTGTGCACCACCATGCCCAGCTAATTTTTGCATTTTCTAGCAAAGATGGGGTTTCACCATATTGGACAGGCTGGTCTTGAACTCCTGACCTCATTATCTGCCCACCTTGGGCTCCCAAAGTGCTGGGATTACAAGTGTGAGCCGCTGCACCCGGCCAGAAGTGGTAATTCTTAGGGTAAAACCAGGGTCTGTCTGATTCCAGAGCCCCTGCCGTTGGCCTCCCTGCTCTGCCTCAGTGGAGTTCAGATGAGTTATTTCACCCCTCAGCCTGTTTCCCTCACTTTCAAATAGCAATAGTAATTACCCATAGGGTTCTTGAGATCATTAAATGAAATAACAGATATAAAGTGCTTCGCAGTGTCTGCAAATAAGAACCTACTACGTCGGCTACTCTTTAATTTATAATTATTAATAACATAATGGCATTAACAGGTGATACATGAAATTCTAGCACATAGAATCTCTGATCAGGCCAAACTGGGGGGGAAAGAATCATATCTATAACACTTTCATAATCATAACATTATTCTTTCCAACTTTGGGCTGCTCAGGGTTTATAAGGGCTCCCATTTCACTTTTTACCAAAAGAAAATATCTTTGCATCATGATAAACTGTCTAGTGTTCCCCTTTTCTTCCATCCTCGTCTGTCCTCACATCCCCCAAGCATATGCAGCAGGGCCCCCAGGTATGAGCAACAGAAGCTGCCACTACAGACAAGACAAGGAAAAAGAAACACTTGCCACTTTTTAGGGACTTCAGCACCAAAACCCCCGATGAACTTGATCTTTTTTGGCAGGATGTTCATTCATGGCTCCTTCCAGTAAGTCAAGCAAGATGGAAACACTCGAGTGATGCAAGGCGGTGCTGCTCAGGAAAAGACACCGATATGCCACATCGCGAGGACCACCAGGAAAGACGATTCCTTTCCAAATTCCAAGCCTCAACAAAAGCGACCACAGCAGTCCAGACTCCTGTCTCTAATCCCTACCACCACATGCGGACAAAAGGTGGGGCTCTTTAGGCCTGAGCTCATGGGGTTTCCTATCAGTCCAACAAGGCAGGGTGCATCCTTCCTGACAGACAGGGATAGGCTGGGGACCAGAG